GAGGACATGGTGTGCCTGTCCTGCACGGCCACCGGCGAGAGAGTATGTCTGGCTGCAGAAGGCTTCGGCAACCGGACCTGCTTCCTTGAAAACATTGCAGATAAGGTAAGGAACACAGCTGATCAGCACTCTCTGTCTGTGGCCGAAAGATGGCGCTGATCGTTTGGTTCTTTGATATATTGTGTATGAGATGAATGTGCCCATAAGCCTATTTATGAATATACTTTTACTTATATCTGTAATTGCATTTGTAGTTACATACATGCATACGCGTCCATACTTATACGGCGAAAATGCATTTACTTACATGCACACGCACATTACTTTTCTGCATGCGCGCATAAATTCATAAATATGTACATACATATGCAATATATATATATATATATATATATATATATATATATATATATATATATATATATATATATATATATATATACATACATACATACACACATATATATATATATATATATATATATATATATATATATATATATATATATATATATATATATGTATGTATTACATACATATCTGTGTGTGTGTCTCTGTATATGTATCTGTATATACAGAGAGAGATAGATGGACATACATGCGTATGTGTGTATATTCGTGTCTGCATCTGTGCATACCAGAATGTTTGTTATTTTTACGCAAACACAACGACACAGCAACAATTATTCACCCCCACTCGCCAGACCAATGAGACAAACAAAACACGAGGGACAGACATACACAAGAAAAAAAGAAGAAATAAGGGAGAAGACAAATTAAATTGTTACCGAACACCTTCCTACTCGGAGCGCCAAGCTCGGGCCGCGCGAGGGTAATAGCGCCCCGACGTCATCAGTGGAAGGTCAAAAGGTCACCCCCTCCCCCCCCCTCCTCTGCAGGAAGCGACAGAACACACGCTCTCGGCGAAGACCAACACGAACACTCAGAGACTAACGAGACTGATAATGAAAAATGTAGAAGAAAAAGAGAAGAAAAATGACTATTTTTTTTTTTTTTTTACATGCAAGAACATTGATGCAGACGTGTATATTGTATAAATGTTTGTAGATATGAAGGGAGCAATGTGCATATACGCAGCTGTGTGACTGTGTGACTTAGGTATGACCTTACGTACATTTGCACACACATACACACACACATGCGTGCATACACACCCACACGTACATGCACATACACATATACACGCACACGCGCCACACATACACATGCACACACACATGTACACATACACACATGTACACATACACACATGTACACATACACACATACACATATACACGTACACACACGCACACACACACAGCTGCGTATATGCACACACACACACACACACACACACACACACACACACACACACACACACACACACACACACACACACACACACACACACACACACTCACTCACTCACTCTCTGATCAAACACCTCGCCTTCGCTTTATTCCTTAGCTGCTGACGCGGCAGATTTTTCTAACTAATCAGCCCATCTCCTCCTTCAGAATAACCCGCCGGACCTGTCCCAAGGCGTCTTCGTGATCGAACAGGCGCTGTCGGTCAGGGCTCTTCAGGAACTCGTCACAGCGGCGGCCAATGAAGAGGTAAGTCCCCCACCCCCTCCCCCCCCTTCGTCGCCTCCTTCTCCGCCTACTCCATTTCACGAGGGATAAGTCTTAAGCGCAGTTATGATTTCACTTGGATTCTTCTTTCCCTCTATAGGCCTATGATGTCGATGCGTTTTGTGCATGAGGCAGAAGGGTTCAATATTAGAATTTTTTTTCTTCTTTTCTCTCTACATGTTTACTGTTTCTTTACGTTGTGGTGAGCTCTATGTCCGGGTGATGAGTGGCCTTGATGAGAAGAGGTTATCATTCATCATTCGTGTTCCGACGTTTCACTTGACCTCTCGTGACCTTCGGC